TATCGTGTTAAGCATCCTTCCTGTATATCATCTAAATTTCTTACTTCTTCAGATTTAAAAGATTTCATTTCTTCACATACTAAATTGTAATTATCAATATCGTTGATCTGTTGGCCTGATGCATTGCATCTATAACGGGTGAAAAATGCATGACTTTCACCTAATGGTCTTAAATATTTGTTTGCATCTAGATCATCATTAACAAGATCAAAAAATAAGCAAATACTGGACATGTCTATATAATTGTTGTCTTCTCCTGTGATAACAAATTTAATATATTTATTACCATTATTGCTACTAAAGATATTTCCGGATACACTGGGGAAGTGGACTTGCTTACGATCTGTAATATACGCGGCGCTTTCTGGAAGTCCGAACTGTAGGGAATTTATCATATTATCCTGAGTTTCTGCTATAACTAAATCCATTTTATATATATTATTTAGATTTTTTATTATTAATATTATTTTTTTTATGTGAATTTAAATTATTCATATTTTTAGAAATTTGTTTTTCAAGTTGTGGTTGCGCTACAGCCGAAACATCAGTTTCTACAATTCCCCTGATCATTTCATAAGATGAATTATTTATACTTTTTGTAATTTTATTTTTAAATTGAATGTTCTCGGGAATTTTTCCTATTCTTGTTTGTTCTTTTGATTTTCTGACCTTGTTAAGCATTATATTATATTGTTTTAGATAATTTAATACATACCTAATATTTTTATTCTTTCATCAATGCCTTCTAATTGGTCAATATCATGACTTGCTATAGGATTGAAAGTTTTAGCATCATAACTGATAGCCGCGTTATCAAAAGCACTCACGGGGTCGCCTGTCATTCTAAATCGCTTATGCTGTTCAGTCGGTCTATCTAAGCCAATCATAGGTGAAAAGAAACTTATTACAGGAGCGTTATAGGTTCTCGTTTTATAATTTTTGTCCTTAAATTCTTTGTTTAATTCTAAAACAACGCTACCTCCCATACTGTGCCCTAATAATGTATTCACTTGTGGATTTTCCATTAATACCCGTCTCGCTTCCTTGTAGCGATCCATCTCTCTAATTCCGCCTGTTTTAAGATTTGTAAAATTTTGTCGCCAGTCCCTTGAAGATGTTGTCCCCGCCACATACATTTTATTTCCCTTTACAAAAATTTTATTATCACGATCATATGCATATTTGATACCTTGAGTATTTGATATTTTGCCGTTGTGTTCTAACATCTTATTTAATTGTCCTTCAATCTTTGTCATTATATAAAAAGATTATAAATTAATTTATCAAATATAATATATATGACTGAAAAGAAGCAAGAAAAAAAAGAAAAGAAATTAGAAAAAAAAGTAAGAAAATTATATGTGGAACATGTGGCCAAACATATATTGAAAAAACATTTATGGATAGAATAAAACATATAAACACCCCTTATCATCAAAAATTCGTGGAGCAACGATACAAACAAAATCCTAAACTAAATGAAAGACTAATAGAGAGGAACAGGAGAAAAATGAAAAAATGAAATATATATTATCTAAACTAAAAATATAGTAATATGAGTATCAGACCATTAACATATAAAAAGGTTTATGTAAATTCAAAATATCGCACATCAAATAGTCGCGGTATAAGCGACTTTCAAATAGAATTAAGGGAAACATTTGAAATTCCCGACGGAACGATTATGCAAGTTCACGAGTTAGCAATTCCTAACACATGGTATTCAATAAACGAAAATAATAGAAATTTATATTTTGAACACAGAGTATTAGCACCGGCAACGCCAACAGGAACAACTTATTTAAGAATTGAAATACCACTAGGAAATTATACACCTCCCGAACTGGCATCTAGAATACAACGAGAAATAAATTTCTTCTTTGATGTTACAGGTAGAGATAATACATACACTGTAACATATAATACTATTTCAAATAAAATATCAGTTGAATCAAATTATACGGAAATTATTTTTATTGTTCTTCCCGATAGTATGATTGCTAGTAATATAGGATCTTTTTCAAATAATGTTGATTTAAATAATTTAAACAGTATAAATAGTGTTTTAAATACACCTCTACCTCTAGATTTTTCAACTTCTACAGTGCCGTGGGTTTCTGGGTTTATAAATTTATTAGCACATCAAGATATTTATATATCGTGTCCTGAATTATCAAATAATAATTTTCACAGTCCATCAACATTTTCAAATGCCATAGTTAAAAAAATCCCCGTCAATGCTTCATTTGCTAGTATTATAAATGATCCGTATGGCGTTACAGATTATGATTATGTAAATGTCTCGCGTCGTTCAATAAGAAAACTAACATTTAGAATAACTGATGAAATAGGTAACCTTATAAATTTTAACGGTGTTAATTTAAGTTTTTCTTTACTCTTCCATAATACAGACGCTACATGATTTTAAATAGAAAATATATAGAATGTTATATATGTCAGAACAAAACTCAGAAAATGTTGTAGTTAACGATGAACCTGAAAACGAAGCAACTGAAGCACCGCCGGAAACAGCAGTTGAAAAAAATGAAGCCGTGGTAGAAGAACAAAAGCGAATAAAAATTACAGAAGTTATTAAAAATCCTACCGAATGTAAAGACTGTAAAAAACCTATGACAACTAAAACTTTACGATATAGTCATCCTAGCGTGTGTGAAAAGAAACCGAGTAATATTATTGATCAACCAGTTAAAAAATATGCACCTAGAAAAAAGACAAAAATAAATGTTGAACCCTTAGCACCAGAACCACAAGAAAATAATTTAGTAGAGCCACAACAATATCAAGAACAACAGCAACCTGTTTCAAAGACAATACCACCTAAACCACAACAACCACAACCACAACAACCATTAAACCCTTATGCAAATTTGACACAACAGCAATTATTGCAATTGCAAATGAGATCAATGAACGCCGAAATTACGAGAAGAAGACAGGAAAAATCAGATAATATGTGCAAAGCTATGTTTCAGGCTAGAAGTAAAAAATCTAAATAATAATATATACAAATGGTATTATACAATAGGTTTAAATTTCAAAAAAATAAAAAACTACATAAGAAAAAATCATTAGATAATCCTGTGGTTAATTCATCCGAAGATCTGGTATATCGTCAACAAAATCTGGACTATCTATTGAATTTGAAAAAACAGTTAGAAGCGAGAGAAGCGAAAGAAAAAAACATGGCGTTTAAACGAAGACTATTAGAGGGTCAAATGAAAGCAAATTATGAAAGTGAAATGGCAAGATTGAAAGGGGAAATGCATAATCCACGAATACCCGAGACTTCTCTAGAACATCTTAAGAAAAGGTATGATACATTAAGCGAATTGAGTGAATCTATTTTCTAAAACAATATATAAAAAAGAATGGTAGTTAAAAATACTGGAATACAATTTCACAGAAGATCTAGATACGAAGATATTTTGGAGCTAGTTAATGATAACGAAGACGCGTTAAAACCCTTTCCTAATAGAGATGCTGTATTTTATAAACAAAGCAACAAGGGAACACGCTTTGATGGAAAAGATCATTTGGATAAATTGAGAATTCAAGAAAAACAAATCGCTGAACGAATAGCTAGGGATCTCATGCAACGACAATATGCAGAAGATAATGATTTAACTCATAGATCATTGTTTACACAACACGACAGACCAGAACCAGAACAACCAAGATCACCGGAACAATTTAATATAGGAACTGACACCGACGATATGTCTATAGTTGAAGAATTCGGCACACCACAAGAACAACAGTTAGCGCAAGTAAATGAAACATTGCAAAATATAGCAATGGCACAACAAGGCAACCAACAAACAATAACACAAGCACATCAACAACAGTTAGAACGAGAAGAAGAAGGGGGATCAGGAGTTTTAAGAAGTCTAGGAAGCGGAGCATTAAGAGTAGGGGGCAATATCGCGGGTAATATTGCATCAGGAATGGATTTTAGATCTGCCGCGTTTGCCGGTTTTTCACAAGAAGCCATGCAAGCATTAAGAGATACGTTGATGAGAAGAATAGCGCCACCTCCTAGGCCATTATTAGATTTCACAGGGACGGCGAGAGACGGGCAATTTACGACATATGACCCAACACCAATACCAAATATGCAATATTTACAACCAACAACAATATTACAACCACATCAACCCAATGTAGGAGCGACACAACAACCATTACCGATAGCATCATCAAGCCAACCTGCGATATCAGAATTACCGAGACCACAACGACCAACGGAACCGAGAGGGAAATCAAGACCTCGACCAACTCCTAAAACATCACCAACACCACCACGACCTAATTTTCAAGAAGGAGGAGCGTCAGGTTCCGGAAGCAATCCAGAAGAAGAAAGAACACCACCAACCGAAGAACCAGCGAGGAAAGGATCAAGAAAAACTAAAAAAGATGGAACTATTTTAAAAGAAAGTCAAGGTGAAGAAACAACAGGAACAACATTAATCAAACCGAGTAAAATAGGAATACAAAAAATACGCGAGTTATTTGAAGAAGCAAACAATAGAAAAACAATATCAAATGCCACATATAAAAAATACAAAAGTGCATATAATAGTTGGATAAAGTCAGCAGGTGATAAAGAAATGAAAAAACAATATCTAAAAGAATTACAAAACATATATAGGCAACATATATTCAATAAATAAAAATGTAAATATTTCAATAAAAAATATAATTTATTGAAATATTTATTATTCCAATCACCCTTCCCAGCATTGTTTTTGCTCAGCGAGACGATGCTTCATTCCCCGAGGCTGTGCTGTGCCATCACTCGCGAGGCTCCTTGTTGATCTAAAATAAAAAACGAACTACAAAAAACATATTATAATTACTAACCAAAAGATAAGGAAAAATATTACCTTTTATAAAATCTGTCCTCCCGTCCATTGGCTTGCAATGGTCTGTGTCATTAACATGTCCTCGTCAGGGAAAAAAGAATAAACCCATACTATTTATTATTTTTGCCAACCCACCTTCAAGAGGACATCAAAAGAAGCAACCACCAGACGATCCAGTAGCCACAGAGCGCCCACGCTGATGATGGCCACCTTTGCAGGGAAAACAAAAGAATAAAACAAAATATTGTAAAATTATTTACTATATCCAAAAAATATTTTGTAACATCCCACCTCATCAAGTGGTAATTTTTGCCGGACGCCCTCGTTTTTTTGGCGTAGATATAGAAATGGAACTAATGTCCGGCATATCCTCATCGCCATCTTTTTTACCACCATGTCCATCGTCGTCATCGTCGTCGTCGTCATCGTCGTCATGGTGGTTTTCCGTATCATGGCGACGATCTCCATGAACAGGGCATTTACTTAAAGACCCGTATAATTTTTGCCATTGGATATCCCCATTAGAAGAACCCCATAAACTAACAATTAATTTTTCCATAGAGCGTAAAGAATAAGATTTAAGGGCAGTAACCAAAGTCTCTACTTCCCCTAATTGGTCATCTACATAATGAAACAAAACGTCAACCATTTGTTTAACCCTTAATTCCCCGTTATTGCTTTTTGCTAGTTCTTCAATTAAATTAAGTCTTACCTTCCTATCTACAACCCCTAAAATAGCGGTTATGCAACTCTTCGCGTTGGTTTCTGCTAGTTCTAGTATTTGTTTAATACGAGCTATTTGTTCGGTAAAAACCCGTGAAACCACCGACGAAGAGGTGATCCGTGTTTCAAGGCTCCGTGCTTCTTCATTGATAAAACGGATACGCTGGTTTTTAGAAGTATATTTGCTAGTGCATTTGAACCCCATAGCGTTTGATGAAGAAACACGAGCCCTTTTACCCCCTCCTATCTGATAAAAAACTTTATTGCCCTTATCACCCAAGGTTTCACGATCACCGTTGTAGATGCCTTCCTCGGTGCTGTCCTCTTCATCGGAATGGCATAGCATATCCAATAAATTTTGGTGTTCATCTGCAAAATGCGATTGAACTCCCCATTCTTGATCTTCAGGAGTGATGCCGTAGAAGTCTTGGATCTTTGCCTTCACGGTGTCAATCGTGTCGGAACCTTCAACATCCATGGTGATGGTCACGCCCGTCAAGGTCTTCACGAAGATCTGCATAGCCTTAGTAGAAATAAATATAGACTTGTATAAAATATAAAACTATATTCAAAATAAACATAAAATATAAAAGTTTATAAAATACAATCCAAGAAACGACGGGACAAAGCGAATTGCAAAAAGTTTCTTGAAACACTCAAAAAACTGGAGCAATAAATGCTACAAGGGGAACAAGATGTAACAATGCACAACCTCTCGTGTCAGACTGCACATGCCGAACTGCACATGACATGATGCAAAAACAAAAGTTTTAAAAGTTTTAAAAACTAAAATATATAGTATTATATATATGAAAAAATCAGTTCATGATGAATTGTTTGAAATACTCTACAAACAGGCAAAACATGAATTAGAAAAACTAGAAATTATCAAAGAAAGTAGAGAAAGTAAAATTGTAGAAATAAAACAAAAATGCGTTATAGAAAAAGAAGAACAGGAACATTTAGATAAGGAAATGAAGTATTTAGAAAAACAAATTGAACTACAAAAAGAACTAATAGAATTGTATGAAAATAATAATTCATGAAATGTTATAAATACATATCTAAAGAAATGAAGATAAAAATATATAAAAGTTTTAAAAGTTTTAAAAAGAAAAATATATAGTAATATATATACATATATGATGAAAGTAATAAAGGAAATTATAACAGACAAAGACGCTGGTAAAAGCAAATACAAAGAGATAATGGAACCTTTTGAAAAAGACTTAGATAACTTATGCGTTGAATATGGAATGAAAAAATACTTGTTATTGCAAAAACAAGAAACGATAATGAACAAAATGAAAGAGAAACTTAACACATCATCATGGGATGATGATTATATTAAAACTATACGAGACTCACTAGATGAACTAGAACCATATTTAAGAGCAAAAAACATGCTATAAAAATTTTATCACAAAAATTATCACAAAATTTATGAATTTTTGTAATAAAATTTATGATAAAATTTTATGAATTTTTTATCATAAATTTCTGAAATTTTAATGGTGAAATGTGCAAGGGTATGATGTCAAAAATGGGCAAAAATTTATGGAAATGTTGAAATCATAGGGTACCCCCTAGGGGAAAAACGTGTGAGGCGTTGGCGGGACGGAGATAAACATGGGGCATGGCCATACCTAACTTCGGTTGGGCTGAGTTATTGGGGTGATGCGCTGTAACAGCGCATCGCGGGTGATGCGCTGTAACAGCGCATCAGGGGTGATGCGCTGTTACAGCGCATCACTCCTGGTGTTGGGGGTCTGGTTGGTGCTGGCTGGGTGGGGCTGGGGGGGGGTTTGGCTGGGGCTGGGCCCGGGCTTGTGTTCTGGGGGGGTGGCTGGGGCTTGGCTGAGGCTTGGCTTGGGCTGAGTTATTGGGGGTGATGCGCTGTAACAGCGCATCGGGGGTGATGAGCTCTAGCAGCACATCGGGGGTGATGTGCTGTAACAGTGCATCGGGGGATTGACTTCCTTGCCCCGCAGGATTCACAGTCTCAGACTGCTGACCCTTCTTGCAGGGGCAAGTCGGAATCGGAAGCAAAGCTGCAAATATGAAACCTTTCAAGTTCAATGCTCGTGGTTTGTTTCCTTGTCACACAATCTGAGGCCAATGAAGAAGAGGTTGTCAGGCTGCGGCAGGAATTGGCCAGTCTGCAAGAGCAATACGAAGACAAACAGAGGAAGTACGACTTTCTCAACCGGCTTTTGACAGCCATGCGGCCTCGATTCTCGGCCCTGCAAAATCATGTGGCAGTGAGAATCAGGCAAACATGTCAGTAGCTTCACTCACTACCAAGGATATGACGAGTTGAATGAAGAGGTGAAAGTCCTTCGATCTCTTCTGGCCGGTGGTGAGCAGACACAAAGCCCAGGCTCAGAGTCCTTGGCCACGGAGGCAAAAGGCCCTGAGGAGGCCCCTGAGGCCCCTGAGGCGGTGGCGGTATTTTTTGCTTTTTTTTCCGTGTTTTTTCTTATTTTTTCCGTTTTGCTCGTGGCAAGCAAGCAAGCAAGCCAGTAAGAAAGCAAGCAAAGCAAGCAAGCAAGCCAGCAAGCAAGCAAGCCAGCGAGCAAGCAAGCGTGCAAGCAGGCAAGCAAGCAAGCAAGCAAGCGCGCAAGCAAGCAAGCAAGCAAGCAAGCAAAGAAGTGCTTAAGCAAGCAAGAAAGGAAGCAAGGATGGAATCGTTGCAGCCTCCTGTCATTACTACCTACTACCTACTGCCTACTACCTACTACCTACTACTACCTACTACTACCTACTACTACCTACTACTACCTACTACTACCTACTACTACCTACTATTACCTACTACTACCTACTACTACCTACTACTACTGCTACTGCTGCTGCTACTACTACTCCTACTACTCCTACTACTCCTACTACTCCTACGACTCCTACGACTCCTACTACTACTACTACTACTACTACTCCTACTCCGACTAGTACTACTACTATTACAACAACAACAACAACTACTACTACTACTACTACTACTACTACTACTACCTACCTACCTACCTACCTACCTACCTACCTACCTACCTACCTACCTACCTACCTACCTACCTACCTACTACCTACTACCTACTACCTACTACCTACTACCTACTACCTACTACCTACTACCTATTACCTACTACTACCCAGTACCTACTGCAAACCACCTACCACTTACCACAAACTACCTACTACCTACTACCTAGTACCTACTACCACTGCTACTACTACTATTATTATTATTACCACGACGACGACGACTTTTACTGCTACTACTACTACTACTACTACTACTATTACTACTACGACTACTACCACGACGACTACTACTACTACGACTACTACTACTACTACTACTACTACCACTACCACTACTACCACTCCTACTACTACTACTACTACTACTACTACTACTACTACTACTGCTACTACCACCACTGCCACTACCACTACTCCTACTACTACAGCAACAACAACAACTACTACTACAACTACAACAACAGCTACTACTACACCTACTACTACTACAACACAACAACTACTACTACTACTACTACTACTAATACTACTCCTACTACTACTACTGCTAGTATTACTACTACCTACTACTACCTACACTGCCTACGAGTACCTGCTACTACTACTGCTACTACTACTACTACTACTACTACTCCTATGTACTACTACTCCTACTACCACTGCTACTACTACTACCACTACTACACCTACTCCTACTCCTCCTGCTCCTCCTCCTCCTCCTACTACTACTACTACTACTACCTCTGCTGCTACTTCTACTAACGCTGCTGCTGCTGCTGCTACTACGACTACTACGACGACGACTACTACTAGTACTACTACTGCTACTGCTACTACTACTACCACAACAACTACCATTACAATTACAACTTCTACTACACCACATCCCCTACCTCTACCCCTACCCCCCCACCCTTGCCCCCGACCCCTACCCCTACCCCTGCCCCTACCCCCACCCCTACCCCTGCCCCCTCGCCCCCTACCCCTACCTACCCCTACCCCTAGCCAAACATTACAGGCTTCCAAGGAAACCCTGTCAGGGAACCTCGAGAAGTGCATGACCCCTATCGGGGCCCATTGAAAGCCATTGAGGCCCATCGAGGCCCAAAGAGCTTCAATGAAAACCAATGGTGCTCAATGAGTTTCAATGGGCACCAAAGGGCTTCAGAGCAGCTCAGCACTTCTCAGCTATTCCAGGCCAGCATGAGCATTCGAGTAGTCTCATTCCGTCTAAGTTCTGCGTGGAATCGAAGCTCGCTGGAGCCATATATTAAAGCAGCTAGGGTAGGCAGATACCAAGTTTAACGCGTGCAAGAAGTGTTGTCTAAGTAGACTCCGCCTTGGGAGGGGGCGTCAGCTGCAGGGAATACCCGCGCGTGGTTTAGAGCGGTTTTGAAAGATTTCGAGCTTCATTGAGCTTCATTGAGAAAACCGTGCCCCAGGGGGTTTCCCCCCTTTAATTTAAGGATCCCAGGGACCTGTTTTGAGAGATTTCGAGGCTTATCGAGCTTCATTGAGGGGGACGCGTCCGAGGGTGTTTCCCCTCCCAAAATCGGGATCTGGGGGTTCGCCCTGAGAGAGTTTGAGCTTTAACGACCTTCATTGAGAAGATCTGGCGGGCACCTGTGCCTTATTATCAAAGCTTTTGAGAGATGAAGCGGCTGGTGCGTAGAAGGACGCCAAGTCACACACATACGCACCTCTGAAGCCACATAACTTGTATTGACGCCCTCAGGGGGTTGCCCCAGGGGGTTGCCTTAGCACCTTGTAAAAACAAGGGAAACGGAAAAAAATAAGAAAAAAAAACGAAAAAAATAAGGAACAAAAACCACGCCCCCCTGAGGCCCCTGAGGCCCTGAGGCCTGAGGAAGCTGTATAGTATCAGCTGTATGGAAGTATGCAGGCAGGCCGTGGTTAGGCCAATGTACACTAATGACTGGCCCCTGAGGCCTTGAGGCCTTCTGTAACTCTTTGATGTCTGTGCAGGATTCAGAAAAAAAAAACTATTGGAGCTTGATATGTCACTTTCACTGGCTGTTGCATCGTTGCAGATTGATTCTTGATTCTTTGTTGTTGCATGACTGTTTGAGCCAGACAAAGCCAAGATGAAGAAATCCCTCTGTTCTTGGCTCTGGTTTTTGGTTTCATTGTAGAAGCACTAGGCCCGGCCCTTCTCAGGCCCATCTCAGGCCATTCATCGGCCCTTCTACAGCTGCCATCCTTGCAGGCCTCACTAATGGCACTTGAGTCCCAGGCCGATGCGCTCATCGAAGGCTATGCGGCCTTGCCACCACCGGCCTACAAGTTCTTTCGGGAGCGTGTGTTCGCCAGCGAGAACCCATACGTGCCGGCCCGGAGCTGGTGGCGGAATGCCGACCTCGCAGGGGCAGGGGAGGCCAGTGGTGCCGTGTGGTGGGCCATTGAAGGTACGAACCGGGAGTTTTCATGCTGCTTGGCCAAAATGTAGAGGCAGTG